GTACTTCATGCTGTTAACTAGATAAATAAACATGAATAGATAAATATTAGAATATACAGTTATATATGAAGCATATTCTCACATGTGCAAAATATGTCCAATCTCTGCAAAGACATGGCATTAAAAACCCTCAGTGGATTTCAAACTCTTGAAAGTCTAAAAGAAGGCAATTTATAACCATTTATCTGCATTTGAAATCTGCTTATGGCAGAACGTGGTAGCATACACTATAGTTTCAGCACTTTGGAAGCTAGTTTGCGGTATGAGTAAGTGCCAGACCGCCTAGATCTACATCGCAAGACACTGTCACAAACAAAACCAAAGCATTCTAAATAAACTAAAATGCACATACAGATTTAGGTGTTAGGTTCCTATAAATCTACTTTATAGGAATGTCAGCCTTCTAAACTATTGGTTGTCATTGTGTTTATAAAGTCCAAGAATTAGAAGAAAAATAAACTGTGCTGAAATATGGATAAAAGCAGTCAAAAGATCCTGAGGAAACTTCCACACCAGACTTTACTAATAAATGTGTTCATATAACTACAGGAAAACCATTTTGTAAGAACTATAAGAATGAAGACAGTGTCTCGCCACATAGTTAATTAAAACAAAAATGTTGTCAATGGTACTTCAATATCTTTTTCCTACAAGCTATTAAAATAGGTAGTGGACTTTATTATGTGTAAGACAGGCAACTTTTCAAGACAAGTCAGGCCCAGAAGCAAGCTACAGAGGAAAGTTTTTAGGATACTGAGACCCCTAAGAGTGTTTCTCTGTAAATACACCAGGAGCCCAGGGAGGGTGGCCCCAACAAGTCAGGTCCAAGGAAAAAGAGAAAAATGCCAACCAAATGTCCTAACAGTGAGTTCTGTAGCTGTCTACTTTGTTTCCACCCACCTCAGCAGAAGCCTTGACAACCAGCACCCCACAGCCTTTACAGGGGTACAGAATGGGTGTGCAGTCTCCTAAACGTCAGGGTCCCAGTGAACTATCAGTTTCTAATCTATATGCAACTCTTCATTTGACAGTGTGCAGAGCTTGTGCAATGAGAGACCCTGCCATAAGGTATCTGTGGAAGATAATGGCTGGCAATCGTTAGACATCGCAACTACCCAGAGTAGTAGTCCCAGTTAGAGGAAATAGATGCTGGCTGAAAGATTAACAAAGTCAGAGGCTGATCAAAGGCCAAGAAGGACTTAAATATATGAATAGGATGTCAACAGGAGCTTTCAAAAATTCCAGTGTGTTCTGGAAGGCTTTGTGTGTGAGCTGTATTGTGTCTGTGTCCAGGAAAGGCTGGAGACATGCATAGTCTCTCAACTCTGGATGAACTTGAGTCTCTGTGTGAGCAGGAATGAAGGCTACAGCAAAGTTATAAGCTGCCTGCTGGAATGTAATATAGTATAATATAATGCATCCCAAAACCTAAAGAACCCTGATAAAGGCTGAGAAGTGACTCAAGATATGTAAGAAAAGGAAATCTTGTCTATATAGACCAGTAAAGTGACCAAGCAAAGTCTTCAGCGACTGCACACAATGGAGATAGACTTTCGAATAAAGCAACAGATAGCAAGATAGGGGAATTTAGGAGGTGGAGGGGCATGGGGTCTGATTTCCAGAGTTGCCACATTATATTATATCTGGTTGTTAATGGAAATTATAAGTCACACAGAATCTAAAGCATACCTGGGTAAAAGCTGTCAGTTGAAACTGTCTCTGAGCAAATGCCACATTAGACCTTACTACTATAAATGTGCTTAGAGAACCAGCCGAAGGAAAGCATTTGTAAGGACTAAAGGAATGGAAACAATGTCTCAGTAAAGACAGAACTTCAATAAATCGAAGTTTTTTAAAGAATCAAATGTTTAGAAGTTGAAAAATATGACAACTAGAATAGAATTTTACTTCAATTCAACATCAGATTTGTGGTGACAGCACAGACTCAGAAGGTGACTATGTGGTTGATTGAAAGTGTACACTCAGAGGAAGAGAAGATAAAAGGTGAAGATAAATAATCAGAATTCAAAACCCTACAGAGCTCCATTAACAGTAACAACATCCAAGCCGTGGGAACCCAGAGAAAAGAAAGAGAGTGGAAGGCAAAGTGTTTGATGACATAACTTTATGGGAAGCCTTCATCTGTATATTAAACTAGGTCACTTAACACACTCTAAGTAGCTAGACACATATAGCTTGGGTGAAAGAGCCCTTGCCAAGAATGCACAAAGTCCTAGGTTTGATCTCAGCACAAATGAGCCTGGCACGTGCAGTACCATCACTTGGTAGGTGGAGGCAGGAAAACCAAAAGTTCAAAGTCATCCTTGGGCATAGACCAAATTCAAGACTAACCTAAGCCAAATTCAGTACTGTCTCAAAAAGGAAAATGGACTAGACTTACATGCAGGAGTTGTGTTTATAAGTGGAAAAAAAAAAACATCATGACCTGTAGATAGTGGTTTCTTAGGTCTGAGCACAGGCACCAAAAGAAAAATAGGCGGAAGAGATTGCAAACAATTAAAACTGAGTTTCAAATGACAACATACAGATGGTGAAAACAAAATAGAGAGAAATTTGCTTTCTAACCAGACATTTGATTTGTACTTGGGCTTGTACAAGGACTTATACTTGGAAAGAGCACAACAGTATAAAGGCACATACTTCAATTTCTAAAGAATGTAAACAATTTGAAAAATATTTTTCCAAAGAATGTATACCTTCAAAAAAATACTCCAGCCGGGCGGTGGTGGCACACGCCTTTAATCCCAACACTCGGGAGGCAGAGGCAGGCGGATCTCTGTGAGTTCCAGGCCTGCCTGGTCTTCAAAGAGGGTTCCAGGACAGCCTTCAAAACCACAGAGAAACCCTGTCTCAAAAAACCAACAAATAAATAAAGAAAGAAACAAACAAATAAATACTGCAATCAGAATTGCAATGTCTAAAAGGAAGACAGCTGCTCAGTACAGATGAGGATGTGGAAAGTTGGAGAGTCGCTGCAGTGCTAAGGAGGCTTAAAACGGGACGGCTTGAGGCAGGGCAGCTTTTGAGAGGCTCCTTACCAGGCCAAGGCTACCTGATACAGCTGGTGAGAAACAAATCGTGACCACACACAGGATGGAGGTGTCACAGCAAGACTGAGGCTGTGACAAATTAATCCAAGAAATCAGGATCAATACAATGGCAGTTGCCAGGATACAAGGAGGTGTGTAAGCTATGCAGGATATACAAGATTAATGTCTAAGGCAAATAGTCCTGCCAAATTTCTGTATGCCTGGATGGTGTCTAGGGAGTAGAGAATCAGAAGGTAGCCTGAATGCTTTACTGTCTGAGGGCACACCTTGGTTTCTTGGGGACTGAAAGACAGTGCCCCAGGAGCCTTGGACTCTAACCTAAAAATCCGGTGACTCAGCGCCTCAAAGACAACTAGAACAGGCCAACTCTGTGATTCCCTGATTGGTGGCACATGCTAGCACTCTGGTTTGTAAGTTTAAGGCTAGACTGGGCTATATCATGCTTTTAAGGACAGCCTGGACCAAAATAGGGAAACCCTGACTCAGGCAAAGAGATAAGGGAAAGGAGGTGGGGTGGGGGACTATGATTTTAACAAGAAATGAGTAGATCCAGATAGATCCTAGTCTATGGGTTGCCATAAACAACCCAGTGAAGTTAAGGCCTAACGCCCTGTAAGTTGGTAGCAGACAAAGGAGGAAAGGCCAGAGCAAGGTAGGGCACAATGTCCCTGTTATAGACCTAAGGTCAGCGCAAGATGCTCCTAACCATGAGGATCTTTGTTCCCTGCCCTTCTCTAGTTCAAAGAACCTTGTGCTCAGCTTGAAATTACAGTGTCACTCATTGCAGACCTTTGTTGCGGTGTTTATTGGGAAGAGTCCTGCAGGAAGAAAGAGGATTGGGCAGAAGGGGTGGTGTTAAAGAATAATGCAGACCTTGCAGAAGAGCAGGGTTCCTGGGAGAGGACCTCTGGGTGGAAACGGGGAATTCTCCTGCCAGGCACTACCTCAGGAAGAGCAGGTGCCCCATGCAAAACCTAAGCAGGTCTGGAATAACCTGAGAGGGGGAAGCATCGTCACTCCACTTGGCTTACCACTCCCCTTGTCTGTAGGGCACACAAGCCAGTCCTGAATTGTTTACAAAAAAGATGATTGGTTGCTTAGATGCAACCAGATGGAGTCACTGCATGAACAGCTCATGTTGACTAGGGCGCCTAGGCGTGTGATAGGTTTCCTTTGAAACCATTGGCTGGATGTTTTCCCACCCTGCAGGTTTTTTGCTTTAAAAGATGCTTGCTGTGGGACAATAAGTGAGTTCCTGCTTGATTATACTCCCTGCTGCATCTGATTGTCTCTGGGATTCTGAGAGGCTGGGGAACGGCGAGCAGGCACTTACCCTTCCTTGGACCTAGCTCAGCCTTCCATGGTTGGGCTAAGACCCTGCACTTGTCCCCAAGTTCTAAGCCCACTATGTGTCCCTAACACCTTATAGAAAGGAGGCTGCAGAGGAAAACAGCTGTTATGAGATGAGGAACAGAAGACTCAGGTAGATAACTACTGGTCCTGCTGTAGCTCAGTAACTTTTGTACCTAGTGACCCAAGAGACAAGTTTGCCTGCCATAAATTAAGTACCTTATACTGTGTGTCCCGAATGCCACCACTGTAGTCAGGGCAGAGCTCAGTAAAAGGCACTGTGAGACAGCACCTGAACCCATTACCGGAGTCCGCAATGGGCTTGGGGCTGACCTGTAGCTGTTCCACAATTAGGAAAGGCAGAAGCTCTGAGACTGCTGAAGGATTAGTCATGCAGAGTACGGTGACCTGCTTCCTCAGTTAATTATACTGGTACTTCATAGTTTTAAAAATCGCGCCTTTATGTTTTGCATTGTTAAACAGTAGATTCATAACTGATCACCATTTGTTAAAGCTAATATATTCAGTAGTTTAGTGACAGTCTAGTGCTTAATTATTGCTACTGAATTTTTCTTTCAGGGCAGAGTTCTAAAACCATCAGTTCATCCCCGAGCATCGAGAGTTTGCCAGGGGGGAGAGAATCCACTGGCTCCCCACCTTCCTCTGCCACTAAAAAGGATTCCTTTTTCAGCAACATCGCACGTTCCCGTTCTCACAGCAAAACTATGGGCAGAAAAGAATCTGTAAGTATTTAAGGGCAGCTTGCTTGTCATCTCATTTTATCCTAGAGTGGTGCACATAAGGAAGTTCCTCATATACGCAGTTTGGTGAAGCTCATTAAACTAGAACAAACTATTTTTTCAAAAGTATGTTAGTGTTATCATTCTAATTTAGTAATATTTTAAGACTGTGATCTCTGTAGCTGGGAGAACAGAAACATTAGTTCAGAATAAGTGGAATATTTTCTAAATCCTTCCTCTATCTTTTTATCAAAGCATGTCGGGTTTCAAACTGTAGCACTGACATTGCTTATTGCAGGCTCCGTTGTTGAGGAGGCCGAAGTACAAAAGGCTTCTTTTGGAGGTGAATAGTGCTGTGATTGGACAGAAAGATGCCATCTACCCTCCCCAGTCTCCAGCGGCTCTCTGTGTGCTTTCCTGCTCAGCTCTCTTTCTAAACCTTAGTAAGCAGCCTTCTGTTGCTGAGGGGTTATGACACTTGAAAAACAAAACAATCTTTCTGTTGTAAAGTAGTAACCTGAAAAGTAAAATAATTTTGCTTTTTATTTTTAAAAACTATATGAACCACATCTCTATTACGGTGAGGTGCTTTTGTTCTTTGTTTGGTTTTAGAGATTAATTTATTTTTATTTTACGTGTTTGAGTTTTTGTTTGCATTCACGTAAGATCACTGTAGATGTTACTGGTACCCACAGAGGTCTGCCAGACCCCCTAGACAAGGGTTAAGCTACTGGTAAGCCACTGTGTAGGCACTGGGAGCTAAACCTGGGTCCTCTGTAAGAGCAGCAGCCAGTGCTCTTAACTGCTGAGGATCTCCCAAGTCCCTCTGTTACAGTCTTCTCATAGTCTCTGTATAAATCCTGTGTATATATCCTTGAAAGGGTGTATATTCAAATTGTATGAACTACGTTAATAATCTAGCCTTAATCTAAATTTTTTATGCTTCGTTTTTGTGATTATAATATAATTACTTCGTTTCCCCCTTCCCTTTCCTCCCTCAAAATCTTCCCACATATCTCTCCTTGGTCTCTTTCAAATTTATGGCCTATTATTTCATTAATAGTTGTTACAAGCATGCATACATACGTACAACCTGCTCAGTTTATATGATGTTGCTTGTTACTTTTATGTATGTTTTCAGGGCTGACCATTGGTATTGTATTTTTTTTGGTATTGGATCTTTACAGGCAGCTTTATAAGAACTTTAACTATATTTTATAGCTAGTTTAACACCTAACCTAATATGAAGAACCCGCTTGCCTTCTGAAAGAGGGTACGGTATCAGAACCTAGCTGTAGCTGGAAAATAACAACTACTGAAACCATAGAGGGATGATTGGTCAAGATCCATGAAGTGAAGCTTTGGGTGTCCTTGGTAAACCTCTCCACTTCCTAATGTTTCAGCTACCTCATCTGCAAACCCAGGAATATGCATCATTCACATACACACAACCCAAGGTAGGCTTCTGTTATTTTAAACCTGAATTATCTTGAGATTGAATGTTCTACATACACAAGTGTAAAAACAAAAAAAGAATATTCACTCATATCCAGCACTGAAGAACTTCACAAGAGAACAGAAGAAATCTTAGGGACTTACAGTCTTGCAGTGTTGGTTGAAAAGGAAAGTCTGTGAACACAGGTCAGGGGTCAGAAAGTTACAGACTTTACCTATAGCAATACCAAAGCCAGACAGTAGACCATTGCCTTTGGTGCTATAGGAAGAATTCACATCCTACTCAAATTCAAGACTACTACTATTGTGGCTTAAATCTGAACTGTTCCCTAACAAGCAGATCTTGAAGGCTTGAGGAAAGGTTATTGGGTTGGGAAGGTGCCAACTTCATCAATGGATCAGTCTAAGTGTGTTTATAGCCGAATGGACTATTAGGAAGTGGTGCCTGGCTGTAGGAAATAAATCACTGGGGACACTCCTTTGAAAGATCTATCATGTCCCAGCCCCCCCTTTTTTTCCTTACTCTGTTTCCAATTGCCAGGAGGTAGGTAGGTAGGTAGGTAGGTAGGTAGGTAGGTAGGTAGGTAGGTAGATAGATGGATGGATGGATGGATAGATTATAAAGTAAGTCTGTTAGCTTTTAACCTAGTGTAAACTATACTGTAACTATTGATAAAACAGGTTGTGTGAACAATATATTTACTTAGAGAATGAGAGGAGCAAGCTGGAAGTGGCCAGTAAAGCTAATTCTCATTCTTACATAGTGGAGAATACTCTCTAGGAAAATGAAGTAAGCAGCTTAACCTAGAGGTAAAAGTGAGGGGGGAAAAGAATAAAAGCTTTAAAAGCTACTGCTTCTGGGGAGCAGAAAGTAGAGGGTGGGGTTGTGAGAACTTTTTTCATAACAAACTTGTACCACTTGACTCTTTAAGAACTACATATATAAGCTAGAGTTAAAGTAGTAATCAAAAGTTACAGCACAGTAGAATACACTACCATAATGAATCAGAACATTTGTCTGTTCAGAAAGTATTTGAAGGGCTAGAATATGAAAATTTAAATGAGAAAAACATATGGAGACTTGTTTCCTTTGTGTTATATTTGGTGGCATATGGATTGATCTACAATATCAGCTAATTACTTCTGAAGGTAATCAAATAATATAAAATTGAGAAGTTGAGTCCACAGAGAAGTATGCCTAATTCCCCACTTAGACATGCTGTAAACTAAACAATAAACTACATAAGGTACATAACTATGACCATGTGGATTATTATTCAAATTTTAGTGTATCTCTTAATTTGAGGAGATACAGAAAGAAGTCTTCAAGAGAAAAGACTCTTGGTCTTCTAATCCAGTAGTTTTAGTATTTTAAAAAATGTTATAGTCAGTGTTCTTTGTCAGTTCCCACCGCAAGAGTACAAGAATACTTCATACATTTATTTCCCCCATGGTCTGTCAGCTAGATAACCAGTTCCGCCCAGTGTGTTGAAAGTGTAGGTAATTGATATGTATTGTCACTGCAAACCCTGCATGTCTCTCTTTTGGCACAATAGGCCAAGTTTACATTTACTGGGTCAACCAGCCAACCCAGTAAATGTAAACTTGAATCATGAGTAAAGAGTAAGATTTTATTGATTAACCTTCTGAGGTTGATGGTTACCAAAGGTAAACAGTGCTCAATTAGAAGATGTGTGGGCCCGTAACTGGATATCTTTCTCCCCTGGGAACTATCCTGCGGTGGGAATAGTCACCAGTACCTAAGTCATGGCACCCGCCCTCACTATGCCTGCTTTTCTTTCATCTCCAGCTTACTTTTGCTACAGGGACATTCCATGACCTCCAAAGACTCAAAATAGTTTTCCTTTCATTCCCTATTATTAGTGCCTTATATAAGTAACTGGTGTGAATTGAAGTAAAGACAAGCCTTACTTTGGGTCACCATGCCTTTAAGCTATGTAGTATCATTCAGAATACAAGACTCCGTTTAAAGTAGTCTGGCACAAAGAGATTGTTATCAATTAGAAAAAAAGGCTAAGTAAGCAGAAGACAGACAAACCCAAAGATTAACATGTCATAGGAACCAGTATAAGTGTGGTTAAATCTTCTTTAATGCTATTTTGAAAGTGTTTTTTAAATTGGTATAGGTATTTCATATCCTTTATATGCATCACATGCATTGTTTAAAGCCTTTCCAATGCTTATCTTTTTTAGGTCATGGAGCATTGTATTTTTTAAAAATACTTTTGAAGGGCAAAAAAGTGGGGGGGGGGCCTAAATTGAGTTAAATCTTTAAAGAAGTAGCAAAGGGTTGTCAAATGTTTTAAAGGACACAATTTTAGGAGCTGAACTTCATAGATACTATTCCTAACGAAACTTCATAAAGGGCATTGTTATACTTCTTTACTAAAAGGTAAAAGCAGTAAAAAATTTGAAGATTGACTTTTCTTTATTAATAGTACCTACCATAGTACCAGGCATGGTAATACCTGCCTCCCAGCACTCTGGACACAGAGACTAGCCTGGGCTACAGCTTGAACTACATAGGATGACTCTGTATCCAAAAGGAAAAAAAAAAAACATGACTTTGAGCATTGTTATTTATTTTCCTTCTCCTTTCCCTAAGTACCTAGAAGGCTTACCTCATTAAATTTAGATTTTAATTAAGTTCTGTTTAGGAGTGGTGGTCTTGAAGACAAAAATGCAATATTTTACCTTTAATTTTTACCTTATTTTCAGTATTTACTAGAAATCCTTTTGTTGATCATTTGTTGAATGTTAAATGAGTTTTTGCTTTTTTAACAATATTGTACAATTGTCATTGTTTCTAAAAATTGTTTGCTAAGTTTAAAGGATGGAGAATATAGTAAAAGGAAAATTCTAAAATTGAAACATCAGCCAATAGTAATTTTTAAATTCTTTATGAACTGCAAGGCATTTTGTCATGTTTGTGATAATTACATAGCAATCTCCAAAGATCTAAGTGTACCCATGGTTCAGGGTCCTCTACAAACATGAAGTCAAAGTGTCTGCTCTGCACAGGCCAATGGTTAGATAACCCAACCATTGAGAGCATGGGGCAACTTTCGGGGGGTGCTGACCCTGTGGGTTGATGATCCCCTGTTGTACTTTGGTAATTTGATAGAATTTAATTTTTATAGCATGCTTTAATTCATTGATGTAGTCTTGTCATGAAGCAATAGCAATAGCACCAAGTAAATGAAGATAAACTTAAAAGAAGACTCTTTAATTACCTCTGGAAGTAGAGCCAGTTTGCCAGTTTGAACATTGTCTAATCTATTTCAGACCATATTCTAGAATTGAAATTACAAACATTTTATCTGTATAAGGAGTGTAAAAAATTGTCCTGTTCTGGATATTTGTGGTAAATGAGGAAGAACAGTTCAATGAAAATATCAATACGAGAGGCGTTAGATGCTTAAATGCTGTATTAGCAACCAAGACTTTCTCACAAGAGATACTTGGGAGTTCCCAGCAGGCTTTCTTTCTCCTTCTGTTGGCTGAAATTAGAGTCTGTGCTGGTCCCT